AGTCCCTTCCATATACCCCTTCTTACAGCATTTCAAATTCATGGCCTTTTTTTCATCAAATGTTACATGCACATATGCATATGTACATACACATAAAATACATAAAAATTACCCTCATGTATAATTTATACTTTTGGATAACCAGCTGGTGTGCTCTTTATGTTAGTAGAAACTTGACTTAAAAACTTAAGTAGAGCCAGGGTGGTGGGACAGGCCTTTAATCCCAGCACTCGGGAGGCAGAGGCAGGTGGATCTCTCTGAGTTTGAGGCCAGCGTGGTTTACTGAGAGTTTCCAGAACAGCCAAGACTATTTTCCTGAGAAAACCTGTCTTGAAAAACAAACTTAAATGGAAAAAAGTAAGTGCAATGATATTTGGGTTACTGATTTTTTAAGAACACAGATAATAAACACAGATAAAAGTGATTTAACGTTGGATGAGATCACTGAAGAGTATATGCCAGATGTTTCTGTGATAATGTCATGGGCTATTGAAAGAAAAAGCTGAGGAGAGAATAAGTGGAGGTATTTTTTCACATTTACACAAAACTCAAAAGTAAAATTTTAAGAAAATATGGTTTCAGGCTTATTTTTAATGTTTTGTGAATTTCCACAAATTAAAATAACAGATCAACTATCTAAGGTTTCTCATTAGGAGAAATTCTAAAAATCAAATAGAAAATGAAACTTGTAAGTCAACAAGGTGATTTAAAGTAGTATATTTAATATCAAATATATTACACTCAAGACATTATTCTATGTTACTCTTAGGGAGGAGAAACAGGTATGTGTGCTTCAAAAATCACATGAAGTAGCCACGTATTTTGACATTGGAGAGCACAGCCTCATGTATTTTTAGCAAGATTTCTCCTAAGTGAGTCTCTTACCTTGCTGTGGATATTGTTCTATATAAATAAAACACTGATGGCCAGTGACCAGGCAGGAAGTAGGTTGCCAGGCAGGAAGTAGGTGGGACAAGGAGAGAGGAGAATTCTGGGAAGCGGAAGGCTGAGGGGAGAGACACTACAGCCACCGCCAGGACAAGCAACATGTGAAGACGCCGGTAAGCCACCAGCCACGTGGCAAGGTATAGATTTATGGAAATGGGTTAATATAAGAACAGTTAGCAAGAAGCCTGTCATGGCCATACAGTTTATAAGTGATATAAGCTTCTGAGTGATTATTTTATAAGTGGATTGTGGGACTGCGGGGCTTGGGGAACCTGGAGAGAAGCCCTCCAGCAACATTACCTATTTAAAAGTTCATTACTTCCTAGAAGCTTGACCACATCTAGGTATATACAGCACCTTAACACATTTTCACATCAACTTGCTCTTCATACAATAAAGGAAGAAATGGACCAGATCTTCAGGTTCTAATGAATGATACTTCTCCATCTCCCCAGTACAACCGAATACTAAGACAGGCTCTATAAGAAAAGCAGTCTCCTTCTCAGATCCCCTGGGACAGAAAATAAATTTGAGGGATTTTTTTTTTTTTGCCTCAGATAGTTAGGAATTCCCTGAACTTTTAAAATCTCAGTAGAGCTTGTCAGGTACCTGAGAGACCCTTTTGCTAGTCTATAAATCAGTACTAAACCCTTGAGGTAAGATTCTTCCTCTCCACGTTGAGTGAAGAGCTTCCTGTCTCAAGGAGGAGAGCCCTGCAACAGATCCAGCTGAACAAGAGGAGGCTAGCTGCTTCACGGTGAGTGAAGTATTCTGAGAAGAAGCGATAGCAGCTACTGAACTCCGAGGAAGTTCACTCAAACCATGCTGTACAAAATAACCACTGCTTATTTTAATTTAGAACCTAACATTTCAAAAAATGTCATCAGGAATTTGTTTCCCATGATAAAAATGATCAAAGCAAAAAGGGTTGTGTTGTTCAGTTAGAAAGTATTTGGCTTGGAAATTATATTAGAGAATTTTATGTTTGAATGAATAACAATTAAGAATTAAATTATCGATGAGTTGTATTTTCTATGTACTATTTATTATATTTGCCAATAGTTTAGTTAAGAGTCAGTGCTATGAGTGCATACTGTGTTTAAAAAGCTGAATGGACTGTGTGGTTTTTGTTTTGTTTGATAACTTTTCTGGGAGTCAGTTTTTCATGAATATGCTCTTCAAGCATGCATAAGAATTATATAAACCAATCATCCATTTTATGTGGTGCTTTAGAGAACATGGCATGCTTACAAAGATGCCTCCCATGCAGCAGTTAACCCAGAGAAAGCCCTTTTTCTTTAATATAAATATTTCACTCATGCTTCCTAATGATCTGTTCTTTTATTTACAAATTCCAAGATATTCAGATATTCAAATTGTAACCAAGACTATTCCAAGCCAGATAAAAATTACCAGTTTAAAAAGAAGACTCGGGATTTATCTGGGTGGGGAGCTCTTTCCAGACTCGACAGTCCATTTCAGCCTTGCGTACGTGCTTCTGTTTAATCATTTTCATGAGTTGGTAATTTGCCTCTATCAGGTGAATTCTCACTCAAAACATGTGTGAGAACCTGTGTGATACTATAGTTAGACTTTGATGAGGAATATCTGTATAGCTCTATAAATAATATATTATTCAATATCTACATATCCTTATCCCTTAGGTTTATTGACACAAACTATCAATAGAAATTATTTAGTCTATGTGTCTATAGGAACTCCAGTATTACATGTAATAAAAATGTTGCAACTTTACCACTGAAATATGGAGATGGACCATTTACATTAACATTGTCTTTCAACCATTATATATTTAAGCTAAAATTAATGACTAGGAAGTAGATAAAATATATGAGCTTATTTTTGTACTTTACTCTCAAAAATATAAATGATTCATAAAGATGATTTATATATCTTTGTTTTCTAATATGTATTGTATGAATACATATAGTTACATATGTATGCACATATTGCACATATGTCTATATATATAATCTGACTCATATACACAATTTACATTTTGCAGAATTATGCAGCATTTTAATGAGTTCATATATGTATACATTTATAGTTTTAATTATATCTTATATTTAATTATACGAAGATTTTATTGATTTAGAAAATTAAGATAGAACTTTATGTATGCCTATAATTTACCTGGATATGTCGTGTTAAAGTGAATTCTGTGACAGAACAGAAAGGATTGCTAACTGATTAACTTTTAGGCAGTGCACTATATTCTTTTCTTCTATTATTTCATAGAATTAATCCATACAGCAACATTGAAATATAGTACTATTGTTATAAACTTAACTAATGGAAATAAACAGAATTTGTTGAAATCATTTTACTAAGTTCAATCATTTGAATTAAGTCAAATTTATATACATTTATAAAAAGTCTCATTGATAATAATCCCTCATATATTTCAGGAAATGTGTCAAAAAAAAAACCCCAAAAAGTTGTGAAAGCAAATGTTTGAATATGAGTGGGTGGTGAGAAAAACATAATCAAGATTCTAAACCTTAAGAGTGTTAGCTATAGAACTAAAAGTTGTCCATTCTATGTCAGGTGATTAGAAGATGTTCTTTGGAGGGGATAAAATTGTGTTTATTTAAAAATTAATAAAATTTAAACAGAATTTCACTCAATGGGTTTGAAAGACACAAGGAAGAGTAGATGGCCCAGTCACAGCATTGGGCTTGAGAGAATGGATAAATTCACAAACTGATAAAAGGATATAAATTTAGATTTTATGAGCAACGAGTTTATCAGTATTAATCTCTACTGAAGTAATTTATTCTGTCATTTCTGATTTCAAGCCTATATGAGTCAAATAACAATTCTAAAAACAGGGATATCAGCACAAAGAGATAACCAAAGACAAACCCTCCCATGCATTGTAGATCATGATTCAAGTCCATTATGATTCTTCCTGACTTCTTATCCTCATAACCACAAAGCAAGTTTAATTAAGCATTTCATGTGTGATTATATCACTCATTTTTCTGAAGAAAATACAAAAAAATCTATACAGATTTAGAAGAGTTAAAATAACTAAAAACTATATATTGTACAATATGTGTCCAAAGAGATCTTTGAGTATGGAAAGCATTAGAGAATACATGCAAAGATTTAGGACTTTGAATAGAGTAAACATTACAAAATAATATTTAAACAAAAATGTTGATGAGGTCACAGAGCTCTGTTAGTTTACTCACTATGGTGAGGGGCAATCTACAAGGGTCTAGTAGTTGAGAGTGTAAGACACAAAAGCCCAAGGTTTGTCTTTGTCATAAAAAAGTTTCCTCTACTGAGAGTCTAGCAATTTTACAAACATGACAAGCATTTCCTTTAAGAATCAGTTAAAGGACGGGATTATGGAAGAAAGTACATACATCTTCCTAAAGGCTCACTGGTGGTGTACATGTATAGTCAGCCACATTCCTTACAATCAGTCACTCTCAGTCTCTGATCAGCTGTCCTTGAATTTGATGCTTTATTTCTTCATGGATATTAGATAATGCAGCATTACTATTTTGTTTTTCTCTTTTTTTTTCATATGACATAGTGAGCAATTCCTATTGTGTCTTTCAGTGATTTCTTCCTTTTGAAATTTAAATTATATGGATCTCTTGTTTATTTATTCATTTAACAATAAATGTATAATCATTTTCTTCTCTTTTTTGGCTATCATAAATAGTGCATAAGAATAATTCTATATAAGTCTTTCATGAACATGTATTTTCAATTCTATTAAAGAAATTCAAAGTAATGCAACCACTGTCATGTTCAGGACATTATAAATCTGTATTTTACTTTAAAAGAAACTGTCAAATAATTTTCCAGGGAGGCTGTGCAATTTTACATCCCATCAGCACTTTCTGAAAATTCCAGTTGTCCCACAATCTCTGCCTAAAATTTGATGACCTAGTTTGAAATCTCCATGCCTCAATTTTGCTGTTCCATGTATAAAATTATCATTTTACTTACTACTCAGTTTTGAAGTTCTCTGGCTTGGTTTCTCTTTTACAGGTCTGTGAGTGTCCTGGATTGCAATCCCACCTACAGTTCACCATGGCAGGTTTGAATAATACTTCAATTTGGCCCACTTTTTCCTTCATTGGTATCCCTGGTCTAGAGGCTGCACATATGTGGATCTCTATCCCTTTCTGTCTCCTGTATCTGGTGGCACTTGGGGGCAATGTTCTTCTCCTCCTTCTAGTTAGAGCAGAGCAAAACCTTCATGAACCCCAGTTTTACTTTTTGGCTATGTTAGCCCTCACTGATCTAGGCCTTTCATTGTCAACCATGCCTAGTGTCTTGGCCATCTTCTGGTTTGACATCCATGAAGTTGGTCTGGATGCCTGTCTGACTCAAATGTTCTTTATTCACACTCTCTCCTCCGTAGAATCAGGTGTTCTGGTGGCCATGGCTTTTGACCGCTTAGTTGCTATCTGTGCTCCACTAAACTATACAAGGATCCTGACCCACCACGCTGTTGTTTGCCTCAGTGGTGCTGCCTTCATACGGGGAGCCACGCTATTGGCTCCTCTGCCTTTTTTCCTCAGGACATTTCCTTTCTGTGGAACCAACATCCTCTCACACTCCTACTGTTACTACCCAGATATGCTGAACTTGGCTTGTGGGGATGTCACATTCAGCAGTGTCTATGGGTTGGTCTGTGTAGTCTGCACATTCGCGGTGGATGTGATCTTCATCGTAGTCTCATACATGAAGATCTTGGGCACTGTGATGAAATTGGGGATCCAAGATCGAAACTGGAAATCCCTGCAAACCTGCGCCTGTCACCTCTGCACGGTGCTGGTATTTTATTTACCACTCATCAGCCTTGCCGTACTGCATCGTTACACCCAGGAGACTTCTCCACTTCTCTACACCACCATGAGCAACGCCTACCTCCTCATGACCCCACTGCTAAACCCTCTGGTTTATAGTCTCAAATCCAAACAGATCCAAGCTGCCCTGCGTAAGCGATTTGGGGTACAACGTGTTGTTGCTGGGGAATGAGAATTTTCTATATATGAGAAACTGCAATGATCTTTAAAATATTACCTGAGCTCTATCATGTGCCAAATTGTATTTTGGGCACCATGAATTCTAACACTAAAAAGTACTTATTCCCCTAAGTAAGGAAAGTATGGTGGAGAAGATGGGCAGAAAGCTTTAAAAAGAGCACAAATTATGATTGTGTTTGCTGATGGATGGTGGTTGTTTGGTAGTAATGAGGACAAATCAGTAGGATCCAAGTTCAAAATTACTGGTTGTGGACTAACTGAAATAATTCTACCATGGCTGAGAAGTTGGTGGATCAAACTCTATGTGGTATATAACCCGTGAAAGTCTGGTTACATAGAGAAACCAAGATATCACATAATTCTTGATTTCAATGTTACTTAAGACATTAAAAATAAAAATATATGACTATATATTAAATATTAATTGATGTTCTCAAAGTTCTAGTGATCACTAAAACTATATAAATGTACTGTCTGAAAAGGAATTTTAAAAAGCCTAAGAAGTGGTTAGTCTTACTCATTAAGAATTAATATTTTACTCAGACCTTGTTCTGTTTTCAATTGCATGTTGAAGGTAGGCACTGGAATCTTGACTTCCAAAATAGAGATGTATCTCTTCTCTATCATTCCAGAGGGGATAAATGAATTAGCTGTTAAAGTTAGAGGTGTGTGTAAATGAAGAATTATTATTCATGGGTCAAGGTTAGAGGCACAGGAGGAAGAGAAAGTCAATTGTCTCTGATGATGAATAAGCATGCAGCAGAACAGAAAAGATCTGAATCTGTATGAAGAAAGTTTTAGGGCTGACCATGTGTATAGATCGGCCCTGAAAACATACATACAAGAAACACTGAGGAGGTCGTATTTAGGAATATATATTATATAATATGCATATATGCATGTAACAATCATTAGTAAAAAAAAAAAGGTCATGAATTTGAAAGCTAGCAAGGAGGGCTAAAGAGGAAAATTTGGAGGGAGAAAAGGGAAGGTGAAATTATTAATTATATTATAATCTGAAAAATAAAAGGAGTAATAAAAATGAAGAGGAAAATTTAAATGAGTTTCTAAATGATAGCTGAAGTCATTGATCATGAAATTTTTAATATCTGTTTGACACATTTAGTGTGTATTAGAAAAAGAAGACATAATTTCATACAGCTTCCACTCTAGTACTAAAATTAGGACAAAACTTGTAACGAAACAATTAGTGGGGCCTGAGCTTGGTTTGACTTGGTATATGAAGAGGGGGGGAGCAGTGAGAACTGGGCCAAGAGCTTCTTGGAAGATAGAAAATAAAATATTGAAGGATTGGTATTGTTCCCAATTCCAAAGGCATTCACTCTATTAGACATTTACTGGCTAGAGGGGGTGTTTTGACAAGTATTGGGTGTGGCCTTTTTTTCTGAGAAAGAGATCATTTGAAGAGCATAAGAACCACAAATGAAAGGAAATTCTCTCTCAAACAACTTTACCATTTCAACGTTCAATTATGATGTTTCTCTACATGCTGCATCCTTCTCTACATGCTGCATCTTTCTCTACATTCTGAATCCTTCTCTACGTGGTGCATCCTTCTCTACTTGATGAATCTGAATCCTTCTCACCAGAAGCTTCTTGGCTCTGACTTCCCCAAGCAAAAGCATAGAGATCTGCAACAAGATATCAGTAGTCACCCAGTGTTCGAAGACAAGAGACAAATTTTCTTTTGGAATTTCTCACTTGTTTGTAGAATGTGTGTGATATCTCTACCACCAATATTGTATCAAATGCATTTCTGGTATATTCATCACAAAGATTTAAACTTGAATATGAATTCATGTTTTACGCTAGACTTATTCAGTGCCAGACATGTTCCTTTCTGTTTGGAGTATGATAAAGAAAAGATACAAAGCAACCTCTTGTATTCACTTTTTCCTGTGATTTGAAAGCTATTCTCAGATTAAATAATGAAAATATGACAATAAAACAAAGTGGAAGTAGATATGGGAGGTGATTCAGAAAGAAGAAAAGGCCTGGTAGTAATGAATCATTAGTGCTCCTTATCTTTGGATTCACAATGATATTGCAAATGTCTGACACATTTTTTTTTTAACTTACAAAAAAAGTAGTAAGGCAGCTTGAGGGCATCTTCTGTTTAGGTGAAATGGACAATTGATCTAATTTTATTTTACAATATGGCAGATTTATTCATATTTCATCTCATTCACTATAAGGGCATTGTTTTCCCGATTCAGCTGACCCTAAGAATTGACATGAGGTTAATTCTTAGAATGGTTGTGCTTAGAACATAAGAGGAGAACAAAGAAACATGAGAGGGACAGGTAACAAAGAAGGAATCATAATCACTACATCAATAAATTAGATTTGTGAATAAATGTCTGTATTATATGATTAACAATAGATGGAGGAGTGGTATTTGGCTCTGGCCCAGGGCAATTCAATTGTAGGTGGCATTATTATGAGCACTGAATATGATGCCTGACTCTAATCTGCAATTACAGTATTGAACAGGAAAAAGGTATTTGACATACACAATTACAACATATATAAAGCTAACTCTGAAACTGTTTGAAATAGATATATTTTATGAAAAAAACCAATGTAACTGTGAAAATAAAGCATGTTTTTACCTGGAAAAATCACTATTATTATCTTATACCTTCAATATTTCACCACATGACTAGCATAAAGAGTTATTATTTGATCTTTATTATTAAATTCTAACATGACCTTTGTCTTACTATATTTTGAATTAAAATTGTTAATCTCCATTGAGTTTTTACTATGTATCAGGTAGTGTTATAGAGACACTGGATAAGAGCCTGAAACAATGATTGGGCCTTAAAATTGCTTGGCACTTTTCCAGCGGACCCTAGTTCAGTTCCCCAAACCAATATTCAGTAGCTCACAACCACTTGTAACTCAATCTTGAGAGGAGTGGATGATTTTTCTGGCTTCCCCTAGGCATTCACACGCAAGTGGCATACAATCACAGAAGAATGTGTATGCACATGCATGCACACACACAGGCACATGCACACAGAAACACACATAGATGAATAAAAATAAAATAAATCTTAAAAATAAAAATTCATTGTATAAATAACCATATTTCTTCTGTCACAATACTTAGAGATAGGATGCCACTAGTAAGTCTCAACTGAGGAAACATTCAGACACAGCCAGGGCCACAGGTTTTTCTCAACAACATATCATATAAGTTTGGAGACATTTTAAAATTATTACATTTTAAAATTATATTCTTGGGTTTTTTTTTCATTTCTTTTTTTATTTAAAAAAAATTTATTCATTTTACATACCAACCCTCTCATGCCTCCCTTCTCCGCCCCCCCCCCACATCTCTCCCCCATCCACCTATCATTCCCTCCTCCAAAAGGGCAAGTTCATTGTGGTGGTACACACCGGTAGGATTTGCTGAAGGAGGCAGAGGCAAGATGATCACAAGTTTGAGGCTAGCCTGGGCTACACATTTCTTTCTCCTCACCTCTTGCCTACTCTTGTTTTTAGTAAATGTGATATGCAATTTAGTATATTCTAAAGAAATCCAGTACCTACTATCTAGATGACACAATATATATATATATATATATATATATATATATATATATATATATACTAACTTATTGTACTTTCTTATTAAATCCGTATGTTAGAAAAGCTTAAATCAGGATGGGTTTACAATAAGAGCTCAGCCAGGCAGTGGTGGCGCACACCTCTAATCCCAGCACTCGGGAAGCAGAGACAGGTGGATCTTTGTGAGTTTGAGGCCAGCCTGGTCTGCACACCGAGATCCAAGAAAGGTACAAAGCTACACAGAGAAACCCTGTCTCGAAAAAAAACAAAAAACAAAAAACAATAAGAGCTCTAAAATATATCACATAAACTTTGAAAAAATGAACCCTATTTCCTAACATTTGGAATATTTCCTCTAAAAACGTTATTGCATTTCTCAAATTTCCCAACAGTAGTATGTCTTAACAATATAAATAATTCATTTTAGTCAAATTTGAGCCATATAGCTAGCTGTGCACAAGGAATTCACACACACACACAAAACCCTATTTGTATTTAAATGGGTCATAGGGATTGAACATCAGTTCCAGGAATGACAAACAGGTTAGTTTTAGGAATGCCTTTCTTGGTCATTTATTTTAAACAGGAAGGAAATCTAATTTCTAAAAGAAGTATAGTAATGCCATACAGATAGATACTCTGCCCTCAAGGAAAGTACATCAGCACACTGGCCAGAAGTGAATGAAAGACCTTTACTCCTTACTGCTCTGTTTTCAACATCCCTGCTACCTTTCATCCTACCCTAAATGCAAACAGTTTACAAAGCACACTCTTCAACTCTTGTTTCCGTGCTTTGAAGCCTTGTGTTGAATGCATTGTGACAGGGGCGAGGAAAGGATCAATACTGGGCACACATCTCCATTGTGTACAATTTGCCGGGGAGACAAAAAAATGGAAGGCCATGTTAGTAGTATTTGTTACTATGAATTTCCCTGGTATCATCTCAAGGCTGAGGAAGATTTACGGGTGTCTTAGAGAGTGAGATTGTGTTCCCCATGGCAAAGATAGGAGGCAAGATATGTTTTCCCTTTGTAAATGTGTATCTTGCCTGCTTGTAGGCAGAGGGCAGAAAGCATCCCTGTTTATCCCCCTCTCTTCTTCTCCTTTCCTCCTCTGTCTGATACGGTCTTGCTTTGTTGTCCAGCCTGACTCCTTCTCTGCAATGCTGAGATTTCTAGTATGAGCCATCATTCCTAACCACTCCCATGCCTTTCTTAAGAAAAGAAAACAGAATTTAGCTAAGAGACTCATTGACTTTTTTTTAACTTAGTTTGTGTTCTTATATCCCAACTGCAGTTTCCCCACCCAGTACCTACCCCTCCTGCCACCCCATCCACTCCTCCTCTGTTTCTCTTCAGAAAAGAGCAGGTCTCCCATGTATATCAGCCAGACATGGCATATCAAGTTGCAGTGAGATTAGGCA